CTTATTCTAATATTTTCAAACCATAGTTGCAAGGGTGAGGGGAGAATAAGTTGAAAGTAGCCAGCACAGAGCTGACCATATGTTGATGCTGCCTAGGGGTAAAGGGAGGGGATTATTTTATCTGTCAATTAAAGAATTAAAAGGCAGGAAAAAAGTGTTACCAGAAGAATCTTAGTGAGTCCCAGCAGAGCCATCATCCAATACCTGGAAAATCAGGGTGGCCATCTTGGGGTTCTCAGTGTCTTTAATAAAAGAATTTAAAAACAGACTCAAACAGAAATTTGAGGTCAATTTATTAGCGTTTAAAAGAAACTCCCAAGCTGGGCATGGGGGAGCACACCTTTAAACCTAGCACTTGGAAGGCTGTGAGTTTCTGGTTAGCCTGGCCTAGTCTACATAGTAAGTTCCAAGTTAGCTCCGGGCTACAGGGAGACTCTGTCTTATAAAAAAAAAAAAAAAAAAAGAAAAAAAAATTCCCCAGGGCAGGGGTGGGGTTGAGGATTTATAGAAAGAGTAAGGAAACCCAAAAGCATTAGTTAAGGTGTTTGAAAGCATATTTAGTCTCTAACCAGAGAACAAGACAGAAGAAAAAGAAATAGTTCCACCTTTCTATTTTTGGGGTGGGGGAGGTGGCATTTGGGGGGTTTTGGTGGGTTTGTTTTCTTTTGTTTTGAGATAGGGTCTCCCTGTAGCCCCAGCTGGCCTGGAACTCACTATGTAGACTAGGCTGGCCTCAATCTCACAGAGATCCACCTGCTTCTAGCTTGTGCCATCAGCTCAAGTAGTTGCATCTTTCTGAGTCAGGCCTCAGAAAGGTGGACAGACCTAGCCAAACCTCAGCCTGACTGGTGGCTGTACAGACTGCACCAGGGCGTGGGAATTTTGGGAAGAAAAAACATGTTCTCTTAAAATGATCCTGCCTTCCTAGGTATGACTAGAAAAGTCAGGTCCTTAATCTGCCCCACTGGATTAACCCTTAAGGGAGGAGGCAAAGGCATGTCTCTGAAAGAGAGTGATCCTCAGACCCCCTCCCTATCCACTGCCCTCCACCTGACTGGAAATCCCCTTCATTGTTCAAATCCTTTCCTGGTTATCTGTTTATGATTTCTATGAAAATGGTCTGGGGCAGAGGAGATAGAATGTTCTGCCCCGTGAGCTAGCCAATGACAGTATACTTGATACATCTGTGTATGGTCTCTATGGGAATAGACTGGGGCAGAAGAGAAAGAACGTTCTGGCCCAAGTAAGACAGCCAATGGCTGTATAGGTAAAGTCTCTGGAAATCAGCCCTAGATTGTTCCAATCCTTTCTTGGTTATTCTGTGTATAGTTTCTATGGACATCCCCTGCTTTGTGGTTTTTCTGCTTAAAAGCCCTGTGTTTTCACTACAGCTCCCGAGACTGTGTCCCCAACCCGTTGGCTCCAATAAAGCACTCCTTTTTACTGAGACTCAGTGTCTGAGTGGTCAATTTAGGGAATTTTATGGACCCTGAACATCTCCACTAGAGGTAGATTCCATTCTTTCCACTGTGAGGTCTTAAAGGGTTGTTTATGGCACTAAAGAGGCTGATAATTGCTCAGAGGTACATACCAGTTATACCGGATAACTGAAGTAGGAATTCAAGTCTGTGTGATTTCAAAATTCTACAATCTTTCCAGCATACAAGACTGGAAGGATATTTTAAATTTCTATGCAAACTTTTTTTAAAATTTCTATTATTTTTATTTTATGTGTATGAGTATATTGCCTGCATGTAGGTAAGTGTACCCATGTCGTGCAATGCTTGTGGAGGACAGAAAAGGCCGTCAGATCCCCTGGAACTGGAGTTATGGACAGTTGTCAGCTGCCATGGGGGTGCTGGGATTCGAACCCAGGTCTTCCGCAAGAACAACCAGTGTTCTTAACTGCTGAGCCATCTCTACAGCCCACAAACTTTCTTTAAAGATTTATTGGGGCTGGAGAGATGGCTCAGCGGTTAAGAGCACTGATTGCTCTTGCAGAGGACCCGGGTTTGATTCCCAGCACCCACATGGTGGCTATGAACCGTCCTTAACTCCAGTTCCAGGGGAATCTGATACCCTCTTCTGACCTCCTCGGCATTGCACGACACGGGTGCACTCACATACATGCAGGCAATACACTCATACACATAAAATTAAAATAATAAGGCTGGGCGTGGTGGTGCACACCTTTAATCCCAGCATTTGAGAGGCAGAGACAGGCGGATCTTTGTGAGTTTGAGGCCAGCCTGGTATACATAGTGAGTTCCAGGACAGCTGGGGCTACAAGGAGACCCTGTCTCAAAAAGACAACAACAACAACAAAATAATAATAAAAATATATTTTTTAAAAAATTTATTTTTACTTTGCGTGTATGAGTGTTTTACTTGCATATATGTATGTGCCTGGAACCAGATGAGGCCAGAAGAGAGCATCAGATTCCCTGGAACTAAAATTGCAGCCGATTAGGAGCTACCACATGGGTGCTGGGAACTGAACCCTGGTCTTTTGCAAAAGTAGCTCTCTCCATCTCTCTCTGATGAGCCATCTCTCCAGCCCTGAGTTTCTATGTAATCTTAAAATGTTCTTATGAGGGGCTACAGAGATGGCTCAGTAGTTAAAAGCACTTGCTGTTCTTCCAAAGGACCTGAAATCAATTTCCAGAACCCATGTTAAGCAGTTTACAATTACCTATAACTCCAACTCCAGGGTATCCAACATTGTCTTCTAGACTCCACGGACACCCACACACAGTACACATGTATACACAATCACACAAAAATAAATCTTTAAAGAATGTGTTTATAAGAGGCCAGAGTTCTGACTTTCAGATTAGCTTTATTTATTTTGTTTTGTTTGAGATGGGGTCCCATTCTGCAGCCCAGGCTGGCCTGAAACTCATTATGTAGCTCACGCTGACCTCAAATTCACAGCAAACCTCATGCCTCAGCCTCCTGAATCCTGAGATTACAGGCATGAGACACCATATGCAGCCTAAGGTGATTTGAAATATTGCTATTATGAATGTAGTCGTACTCATATTAATATAAATCAGCCTTATTACTCAATCAAGAATTAACTTTTAGGGCTGGAGAAATGGCTCACAGGTTAAGAGCACTTGTTCTTGCAGAGGATCAGCATTCAGTTCCCAGCACTCATTCAGGAGGCTCACAACTCTAGTTTCAGGAGAGCTGACGCCCTCTTCTGGCTTTCTCAAGCACCCAAACTCATGTGGTATTCACTTATGCAGACACACACACACACACACACACACACACACACAACTTTTTAATTTAAAAAAGATTAACTACTAGCATTACATATTTTCTTCTGATCTTTTTGCCATGTATATTTTTACGTGTGTCTATACATGTTTGTGCGTGCACTTTTGTGTACAAGTGTGTGCGGGGGGGGGCAGAGGACAATCTAGGATGTTGCTCCTCAGACATCATACTTTCTTTTGAGACACATGTACACACATTCACAAATATAATAATAATTAAAAGTTTAAAACACAGTTTTATCATTTACCATGTGTGACATTTACTTTTCCTACTCAATAAACTCTGCAACACGAATCCTTGTTGGAATATTGCATATCTCATTGTTTCTTCAGTACATGTTCCTAGAAGTGATATTACTGGGTCAAAGAGGATGGAGACTTTAAAAGTTCACAATTACTCAAGAACTACTGGGTGAAAGAGGATGGCCCATTCAAAACTTTTGAAATAAAAATAAATATTGTCAAACTGCTTTCAAGGAAGGTTTTCTAATTCATACTCACCAGCAATGTGGGAGAGTGCCTGGCTTATATAAATAAAAACATCTGTGCTTTTGTGTGTGTGTCAAATAGTGTGTTTCTATATCTATTTCTTTTTTCTTTTTACTTTTTGGTATTTTTGAGACAAGATCTAAATTGAGCCCCAGCTGGCCTGGAACTCAAGAGATCCATCCTCAGCCTCCTGGAGAGCTGTGATTAAAAGGTGTGCACCACCACTCCCAGTCCTATACCTTTATTTCTGCACAAGCTATGTACATCCTTTCCTGCAACTCGCTTTTCTCCTAGAAGTGACTGACTGCCTGTTCCTATCCTTGGCACTGATCTTTTATGTGTGTGTATTGGGTTTTTTTTTTTTTTTTTTTTTTTTTTAAACAGGGTTTTGCTATAAAGTTCAAGTTGGCCTGGAGTTGGGTGATCTTCTTGCCTGGGATTACAGCAAACACCATCATGCTCAACTTTACTGCGCCAATCATTCTACCAAGTATTGTTTTCTTTCTTTCTTTTTCTCCCCACGATATAATTGTCTCTTCCCCTAGACACACTTTGGTTTTTGAGACCTAGTCTCACGGAGCTCAGACTGGCCCCGAACTCACTATATGGCCAGGACAGTGACCTTGAACTCTTGACTCTCCTGCCCCCATCTGGATTACAGGCGTGAACTACCAAGTCCGGCTATCACTGTCTTTTTTCAAGCCATCCAGTTCCCAATACGTGGCTGCTGAACTCTGGCAAAAGCCCGCAAACACGCGCTCACCCTCGGGAATTTTGCAGCTGGGCCTTTATTTCCCAGGGCAGACTTAAAGAATTCTAAAAATCACTACGGTGGGATTTGATGCAAAGGCGGCGGCTCTACCGTTAGGGAGCAACGTCTCGCGGGAATCTCTGAGGTCCTTGGGACCTCGGACCGGACTACAAACCCCAATATGCAACGCGCCACCAAGGCCCGAGAGCCTGAATGAAGGCTCTGGAGTCAGTGTCAGGTGTCTGCTTGCGTCAGGAGGCGGTCATGTCTCCCACGCCTTTTTCTCCAGCCTGCACCTTGGTCGCCATTTTGTGCGAAAGGTTGTGGAACCTCCGAGTCTCTTCGACTCTATGGTCGAGCATGGGGTTCGACCAATCGTAACCCAGATCTCGGAAAAAGAGCCCGCCTTTATCCGTAAGGAGGCGGGAATTGCCACGAAGCGCCCGTGGAGAGAGAGAACGAAGCTGCAGAAGACCAATAGAAAGGGAGGAACCGATGACGCTGACCAATGGGAATGCGGGGGGATAACGGCCAATGGGAGTGGAGGGACCCCGGGGACACGTGGGGGGGGGGGCGCTAAACGCAGAGACCAAGGGCTACAGCTGTGAGGTGAGTCAGTCACCTTGAGCCGGCGAACACGGTGTCCCGAGGCGGGGCTGCTGGGGAGTGGGAGTGCAGGTGACCGGGGGAGCCAGCAGTCGGCAGGGTTGGGGACTGAGCCGCGTGAAGCAGCATCTAACTCCAGGGATGGGAGAGAGGATGGGGTCTGTAGCCTTATCAATTAATGTTAATTGCCAACGGTAATGAGCGATAAACGGACACTGTTGGGGAGACTGGGGGACAGCTGTGTACCACGGGCAGGATTCTGCACGACGTCTGCCAGTTTCTTCCTCGAGTCTTCCCGAGAGACCTTCCCTTTTCGCAACATTTTCTCTTGGGGCCTGAAGTCAGTTCCTTTGACTTCCGATCTTGGTTGCTTTCCTTCTGCAGACCTTCTGCGTATTAGGTGGTTGACCCCGGAGTCCGCGCTGTCCTAATGACCTCTAATGCCCTACTCGAGGGGTCCGGGGAGGACAAGCGGAGGAAGAGGAGACGGCAGAAGGTCGTCAGTATAAGCAAACAGCCAGGCTTTCAAAGGGATTACTTTCTCTCTTGCAGGTAGACAAAATGCAGACCACCAGGGCATTGCTCATTTCTCCCGTTCTGGTAAGCTGCGGCTCGGGGATGTCCTGTACTGCCGTGTATTGTATGGGGGCATCGTGTTTAATGAATGGCCTGAGAGGAGCTTGGTGTCCTCATGATGATGTTGGCTCTCTTGGGGAGACTATAGGATGTGCGGGTAACCTCTGTTTACTCAGTTCTGTCAATCTGGCTGTCTTGGCTTTCTGAATGTCCTCAGAGAGGCTGAATCTGACCTTTCTCCCTAGTCTGGCCTGGCCATAGCCAGACAACCCTAAAATGGTTTTCGTCAACCCTCACTACATGTTAGAGTGATCCGGGAAGCTTTAAACTCCTAATGCCTAGACTGCACCTTAGATCAATTACATCAGACAGTGAGAATAGAGGTAGAACCCCAAGCAGTTTTTTTAGAACTCCCCAAGTGATTCCAATGTTCTGCCAAGTCTGAGGGCCACTGTACTAAAGAATATTTCCAGAAAGCCATATTACAGGGAGCTCTCCTTAGATGACTGTTCCAGGAGCCACACCAGGCTTTCTGCCCCACTTCATGAAGGGTATGTAGCTGTAAGTACATTTCAGGAACTATCCCCCTCAGGTTCCTTTGGTGATCCAGACACCCTTCCTGTACCTGATGTTTGTCTGAATCCTTATTCTCTATTCTGGGAAAAATTAGTTAAGGCTGTGCCTTTGGAAATGAACTTTGATACCTGGTTTGGTTGGGGTTTTAGTGTTGAGAATTGAGCCCAGAGCCTTGTGCATGCTAAACCTGTGCTTAACTACTGAGCTACATCCCCAGCCTGGTACATGATTTCAAATGGTGATGATTGCTACTGCTGGTAGAGACCTTTTTGATAGAAATCAGAATAAATTAGTTAAAATTCAAGTTCATTAGACTTGTTCTGTTTTGATTTTGTAGTCATTTGGATAGAATTTCATCATCTAGATTTTTTTATTTTCTTGCCTGATTTGGAGAGATATGTCTTTCTGATTTTACAGATCCGCTCCTGTACCAGGGGTCTAATCAGGCCTGTGTCTGCCTCCCTCCTGAGTAGACCAGAGGCCCCTTCTAAACAGGTAAGGAAATAAGACCCCTGGGTTTCCCTAGGCACAGGTCCCTCTGGTTAACTGAGTTGCTTTTAGGCTTAAGGGGAGAGTTAGAGGGTCTTCGATGCTCTTGTAATTCCAAGACTCAAAAGGCAGTCATTGTAGGTGAGACCAGACCTGTCTGGAAGCATCCTAGGACTAACTCCCAACATTCTCCCTGTGTGCAGTGTTCTGTCAGGGTTTGCCAGCTGATTCCTAGCTCGGGTGGGTGGGTCGACAGGGTGGAGCCAACCACCTGTCCTATGCCTCACTACCTCCTTGTTCTCCTAGCCTCCCTGCAGCAGCTCCCCTCTCCAGGTAGCCAGACGGGAGTTCCAGACCAGCATTGTCTCCCGGGACATTGACACAGCAGCCAAGTTTATTGGTGCTGGGGCCGCCACAGTTGGTGTGGCTGGATCAGGGGCTGGCATTGGAACTGTATTTGGCAGCTTGATTATCGGCTATGCCAGGTAAGTTTGGTGCTACCTGGAGTATTTTTGTAGGCTCCACCCCATTTGGGTAAAGTCCCAGCAGGAGAAGCACCCCTCAGGAGACTTCAAGTAGATTTCTTTTACCTTTCAATTCTCCAGTGACATCTGAGTCAGAATTTAAAAATGCATCCCACCTGGCTCACTAGAACTTGCCAAGCTGCTATTCTCCCTTCCCATCCAAATGTCCAGGGGAGATGCAGGCTAGGTCCTCTCTGAATTGCAGCACTCTCCCCGCACCTATGTGCCCTCTGCCCACATCACCAATCTCACCCTTTCCTGTCCCTGGCAGGAACCCGTCTCTCAAGCAGCAGCTCTTCTCCTATGCCATTCTGGGCTTTGCCCTGTCTGAGGCCATGGGGCTCTTCTGTTTGATGGTCGCCTTCCTCATCCTTTTCGCCATGTGAGGCTCCATGGGGTCACCCAGCTGCCCCTGCTGCTTCGACTCCATGCCAGTCCTGGTGCTGGAGTGTGCTAAGCTTTACCATTAAACACAACATTTCTCTAAACCCATATGCCTGTGCCTGTCTTTTGACCCTGGGGATGGCTTTGGTGGAAATCTGAGAAGAGGGACTTGGGTCAGCCATGGCAATAAGGAAGTCACCAGAGCCAGTAAAAAACCCTGCTACAACTGTGGAAACATGGAAGGGTCTGACCATCTCCCACAAGGACTGTGGCTCTCCCTGAGTAATGATGGTTTTTGGTGCTTTGGCCCCTTCAAGTTTAGCTTATCGACAGGTAACATTTGTTGGGTTTTCTTTTCTTTTGGTGTGTTGTTTGCCTTTTTTGAGACGGGGTCTCACTAAGTAGCCCTGACTGGCCTAGAACTCTCTACACTGACCAGACTGGCCTTGAACTCACAGAGATTGGTGTGCCTCTACCTCCCTCCCAAATGCTGGGGTTAAAGGCATGTATCACCTGTTGTTTTTAACATGTAACATTTTTTTAGGAGGTTAATTTGCAGCAAGCTGTGTATGAAGTATTTAACAACAGTCCTATGAATTGTAAGTAGAACCATTAAATTTGTTTTATTTTGGAGAGATCGATGCTTAGGGAAGCAAAATAATTTGTCCAAAGCACAGAGTAGGTTAGAGGCAGAGTAAGCCTAATCATCTAACTGCCACTCATCCCGTCATCCTCCTCCCTTCAGTCCTGCTTTCTTTTTGGTCACACAATTGAGGTAGCATGGATAAGGAGACTAAGTGGAGCTACTGAGCAGGCAGGATGGCTAAGTGAGTAAAGGTTTTTGCTGCATAACCCTAGCCACATGAGTTTGATTCTTAGATTTCACATAAAAGGTATAAGGAGAGTCAACTACAGAGTTGTCCTGTTACCTCCACATGTACACTGGCATGTGCTCTAGCCCCCTTCCCCATCATGCATACATGCACACTGACAGTAATAATAAAAGCTTTTCAAAAATAAAGGTGGCCTTTAGTCCCAGCACTTAGAAGGCAAAGGCAGGCAGACAGACCTCTCGGTTGAGCCCAACCTGATCTATATAGCAAGTTGTGAGTTTCATTTTCATCATTAATTATCCTTTGTTGGGTTTTAACTTTTTTTTTTTTTTTTTTTTTTTTTTTTGAAAGGAGCAGTAAAGGCAAGAGTAATTACCATTACAAGTTCTAGACAGGGAACTAGAAAAAAGTCAGAACAGGGTAATTTTCAAATGTTCATAGGGTCATTACATCTGCACACGTTCTCACAGTATCTGGCATAAGAAAGGCCAAGCCTCTAAGCACTTTTTTTTTTTTTGTCTTTTGAGACAGAGTCTCCCTGAACCCCCAGCTGGCCTAGAACTCACTATGTAGACCAGGCTGGCCTTGAACACACAGAGATCCACCTGCCTCGAGTGCTAGGTTTAAAGGTGTGCGCCACCATGCCTTGCTCGTCACATTTTCTTAGTAAAACAGAAGATACAGTTCCTACTCTTTTGTTGTTGTTCTTTTTGAGACAGGGTTTCCCTGTAGCCCCAGCTGGCCTAGAACTCACAGAGGACCAGGCTAGCCTTGAACTCAAAAGAGATCCTCCTGCCTCTGTGTCCTGAGTGCTATGATTAAAGGTGCTACCACTACACTGGGCCACAGTTTCTACTCTTAGGGAATTTATAATCTTTGCTAGAGATCAAAAGAGTGCTTTGTTGGGGAGGTAGTTGTCATCTAATGAACTGCATAGACGACTTCATGTAGCACCCTTTTTTGGTGGTCTGTACCAAGGCCTCCCTCCACACTCACTATAGTGGCTCTCTATTTTTTTTTTCTTTCTCTCTTTCTTTTTTTTTGGTTTGAGATAGGGCCTCATGTTGCTCAGGCTGGCTTTGAAGTGATCCTGCTGCCCAAATAGATAAGCATCAGATGTGTAGTACCATACCCAGCTTATTGCTGGTCTTTTAAAGCCTGTCAGAAAATTACCGCAGACATGTTTGGGATCTGGTCTGCCTTGGATGGTTTCACGAGGAGTAATAACTTAGAAATGGAGCCCACTGTGTGAAAACCTTATGTTTCAGCCTATTGTAAAACCTGTGAATAGTGAAACCAAGAACATTCCTAAAGTAATGTACACGTACCATCTATACCTGGGAGGGGGAGGCAAAAGGATCAGGAATTCAAGATCACCAGCAGACTATGTAGTGCGTTTGAGGCCAGCCTGGGCTACATGAGACCTTGTCTCAAAAACAAAAGAATAACTTTCAGCTTAAAAGACAACCAGCAGCGGGGTGTGGTGGCACGTGCCTTTATTCCCAGCACTCAGGAGGCAAAGGCAGGTGGATAGCTCTTGAGTTCCAGGCCAACTTGGGGCACAGGGAGACCTGTCTCAAAAAGACAGAAAAATAAAAGGACAACCAGCAAAAAGTTAAAATATTCAGCAAGGTTGGAGTTGTGGTGCACAAAGCCCTGGGTTCACTCCAACAATAAGAGCTTCTTTATGTCAAGGAGTGTGGGGCATTCAGAGTTGAAACGATGCCTTAAGTTATGGAATAAATAGATCCAGAAGATTTGTACTGTAGAAGTTTCCAGAGGAGGAAGTAAGGTTAGTATTAGTTGCTATAAATGCCCTAACATTGGGGCACTTTTGTGGCAGGCACAATGCTAATCAATTTCCATGAGTAATACATAATACCCCTATAAAACAAATCTTTTTAAAAATATGTGGAGCTGGAGAGATGGCTTAGCAGTTAAGAGCACTGGCTACTCTTGCAGAGCCAAGTTCCCAGTACCCACATGTAAGCTAACCATCTGTAACTCCAGTTCCAGGGCATCTGATGCCTTCTGACCTCCTTGGGCATTGCATGCACATGGTGTATTTACACGCAGGCAAAAACACACACGTGAAATACAAATAGATAAAAATATGTGTAACTGTGTGCCTGTGTGAGTTTATGTGAATCATAGGCATGCAGGTGCCCACTGAAGCCAGAAGAGGGTGTCACATCCCCTGGAACTGGAGTTCCAGGCAGTGAACCACCCAGGGTGGGTGCTGGGGACTAAACCTGGGTCCTCTGCAAGAGCAGTGAATACTTTAACTGCTGAGCCATCTCTCTAGCCCAGAATAAGCCTGTTGGGTTTTTTTTTTTTTTCCGTCTTTTTGAGACAGGGTCTTCCTGTAGCTCCAGCTGCCTGGAACTCACTCTGTAGACCAGGCTGGTCTTGAACTCACAGAGGGTGCACCACCACGCCCAGCAAAATAAGCCATTTTTATAAACTGGAAAGCTCAGAAAGGAGAGGTATCCTACCTATGGTGGCAGATTGGTAAAGCTATCATTCAGATTCTCTAGAGCCTGTTCTTATCACTATGCTGACTCATCAAATGTTTATACAAGTTCAGTGACTTGCCCAAGGTCATACAGCAAGCCAATATTTCTAGTCCAAGTTCATTTGACATTTAATCAGTCACAGCCTTTTCTGCTGTATCTCAACTTTGTCAACTATGGGTAATTCAGACAATTCAATATTGTTTTTGAGGGGGGTTTCTGGGCAATATGTTAGGAGCATCCCTAGCCTCTGGCTACTAGTTACCAGTAGCAATAGACCTTCCCCAGCTGATAACCATTGACAAGTATCCTCTGGAGGACAAGTCACTGGGTGTCATGACTGCTGCGTTTCCTCCTAATTTTTTCACCTGAAGTAACCCTATGGTTGCTATTGGCAAACCAGTAAAAGAACTTCAAACAGCACAGGCATTGCAGGTCAAAGAGAAGGAAGGGGACTGAGGTTGACCTGGTGGCCAGTGTTGCCAAGGGAGCAGTGGGTTAACTGGTAATGGAGCTCCATAACCCTTGGGGACATTAGGCTGACTCCTTGCTGGGTCATTTGCTTTGGACATAATTAAGGGACAGCCACCAGGGAAAGTTGTACCTTTTCCTTTCTTGTGAAGTGCCAGGAACCTGTTTTTCTTTGAGACTGGTAAGAATCTCCTTCCATCTAGGCCTTCAGAAAGCTTTGGAATTGCTGGGCTTCAGGGAGATCAAGGTCAGCCTCTGCTACATAGCAAGTTTGAAGCCAACCAAGTCTTAGGAGATCCTGCTTCAAACACCACCAACAAAGCCAAATATATGACCTTGGGCAAGTCATATATATGTATATGTGGATGTGGATGGATGGATGGGTGGATGGATGGATGGATGGATGGAAAGAACTAGTATTGTTACTAGTTAGAAGCCTTAAAATATCCAGCCTAAGTTCTGATTTTTTGTTTTTTCCTTAGTTCAGAACTTATGACCTGCTAGGAGAAGTTTCATGTATTCCTGGCATTGCACCAAGACTAAAGCCTGGGCCCCAGGTGGGAAAGAGTGCCCTCAGACAGCAGTGGTACACACACCCCTGGGAAGGGAAAGAAGAATCCTAATGGTGCATCTTTTCAGAAGGGCACAGCAGTAATCTATATTCAAGAACCCATGTCAACCCATCCTTTGAGGAGGACACCTACCTCCATCAGCAAAGTGCTACCAAATTTTGTTGGCCCAGTGTGGACATAGCTGGCCACTGGGGAGGAAAGAGAAGTTTGGAGCTGGGTTCCTATGGGAAGCTGGCTCAGCTGCCAGCCATTCCCAGAGGGCATGGAAATGGTCCAGAAAGCATACATCACCCTCTGGCAAGCTTCCTGTGGAAAGTAGCCAGGTGTTGCCTTTGAAAAAGTCTGTGAGCACTGGAGGAAGTTTGCCAGCTTACCATGTGTTTGCCCCTTCTCTCATCATGTTTATTCTACCCTCACTAAATCCTCCATAGTACCTAAGGTGGTGATGGGTTAGCCCTGTAAGCAGCCACTATCCTTGGTAGCCCTTCAGGCCTTGACTTGAAGGTTCTTTGCACAGGCTTGGCTCAGCACTGAAAACATGTGGGGGTCCGGGGGAATGAGGAGAACTGGGAGGAGGAGTAGAGGGAGGAAAAGGAGGAAGAGTGGGAGGAGGAGGAGGAACAGCACCTCTGGCCAGTGGAAGGGCCAATGGCATCTGTGATTGGCCTCGTGTTCATTCTGCTTGCTTTGTGCAGCATCCACTGAATGTCAAGCCCTAG